GTAACAAAAGAATAAATTCGCAGGACTGGGAATCCTTTAATCGAGAAGATGCCTCTGTTGAGAATGATTCATGAGATTTTGTTCCTTTTGCTTTAAGTGAGGAAAGCAAAAACTAGTAGGATACTAATTTCAGGTTGTAACTTTCTGATGAAGTAATGACGGAAAGAAGTACCAAAATGCTATGCTTTGGCAGACATTTCCTTTTCCTGGTTTTGTGAAGTCAGTCACCATTTATGAGAGAGATGTTTCGTATGCTTAGTTTCGTGGGAAGTCATATGTTGATTATAAATTTATAAGTATTTACTAGAAGGAATGCTGGTGGCTCTTTTAATAGTAGGCTATGAAATGCAGGAATGACTAAAGGGCTTGGTGGTATTAAGTTTAGGATAGGAGCTAGGCTATGTTGGATTGGATGCAAGTGAAGTAAAGCACCACTGCTTACAATCAACGTAGGAAAATGGGTGTGGGATGTATGATTACTCCATTTTTTGTCTGACTGAACTAAAACCGATGGATAAAAGTGGTAGATGGAAGCACAATAAGCAATTTTTGTAGGGGCTTGGTCATGTTCTTCTTTCCACCATCTATCAGACGAGCAATTCTGCTGTATCCCCGGGATACCACTGATGTGGTATCCCGGGCCAATACAAAGAAACCATCTCAGCAATTTTTTTTCACACTCCATCAATTATCTGACGAAAAAAGCAGAGATAGCATGCTTTTATTGACCCGGACCCGGGATATCACATCGGTAGTATATGAGGGATACAACAGAATTTTTCCCTATGAGGCAAAATCACACCTTTGGTCATTTTACTGACACATTACTAAACGCGTTATTGCACTCTGAAGTCTGAACATATCCTTAGCCGTATGTTGTGGATTACAGAAAGTACTTTATACCCACACCTTACATAAAAAAGGGTACAAAAACATCTGTGCGGTATTTCAGTGGTCATCGACTGGAGAACATTCATCTTTGGAACCGGGCTTTCCACTCAATTATTCGTTATTAAATTTTAGTGTTTAGATTTAGTTGATTAAAAATTTATTTTAATTAACACTTTAAAAACAAATTCTCAATTTTTCAAAAATTTCCTTGTTTAT